AATTCAATTAAAATTGAAAATATAGCCGTTATTGGTTCCCACTCATCTAATAAAATTCAACAATAACGACTAATTTTTCAATTTTAATCTGATTTTAATCTCTACCAAACTGGCCCATACAATTGCTCGAAAATGTTAAAGGTAAAATTAGGGCTGTACATGGTCCAGTTCGAACCGAATCGAATCCAAATTTTCGGGTATTTAATAAATAGAATCATTGGGTACAAATTTAATTATGGAACCGTTCAGGTTCGATTCCATTCGATTCTATTTAGATCCCGAATTTCTTACAATAATTAAATTTTTTTTATATTACAACAACGTTACATTAATTCGATTATGACATGTTCAATCTTAAATCTTACAAAATAACGTAGTTCAATTTCGTGATATCTTTTACACCTCTCTTTGTTGAGTTCTTCATAGATTTGACTGTTAAATCACAAGAAGAAGAAGACGATGAGTTCACAATAATAAACGACATAAATGACACTATGATAGAATAAGAGATTTGAGTAAATCTTAGGTCAATTTGATTAAGTTGGGATTGGCTGAAAATTAGAAATAGTAAAATTATATTTTGGGTTTGGACTGAATTAATTAGTTAGCAAACTTATTTTAAAAAATAAAATAATTTCACTTATTTAAGATAAAAAAATAAAAAAATTTGGGAGATTCGGTTCTTAATCAGTACTTCAGTTCTTGGTCTAGAATCAAGAATCGAACCGAACCCGTCGGTTCTCGATTCAAATACCCGTTCGGGTATTTAATTTAAGAATAATCGCTCGATTCGATCCGATTCGGTACGACACTTTTGTCCAGTCCTAGGTAAAATTCTCCTCAGCAATCTTTATTTTCTCTTCCTGAAACATGTTCCAAATCCTTCGTCAATCAGTTCGTTTCAAAACAATTTATCAAATATGTATTCAATGGAACACGTATTGGGCTGCAAAATATGATTGATTCTATGGATGCAGTAGAATGTGCAATTTCCCTATGCAATATTAATGAAGGAGATGCAGTTAAGAGCTGAAATATTACGAACATATTTCTCATAGAGTTTGTTTTGGATCGGTAGGTTGAATATGGGCACTGGACACGCCCTTTATGTCAGAATTATTTGAGGATTCCTAGACTGGCTGTGAGGTTTATGATCAAAAAGTTTCGGTGTTTGATTTCTGGACGATTAGATGAAGCAATAGCTGCACTTGGATGGTAATGCTAGCATTGTAGTGCAAGTTTGGTATTTAAAATAATCAACGTTCATGTAACTTTGCATTCAAGCAATAATCGTATTTGGTGGAGTATAGTTACATGTGCGGGGTTGAGTCAATCAGACCTAGCACGACCTAATCTTCCTTTTGAATAGAGGTGTCAAGACGGATGGGCCGACCAGACCGGTGAAAATCAGTCAGGATCGATTCAGGACCGCGGGCGGTTCACGGGTCAAGAAGGTGTGACCCGCGAGCTTCGCGGGTTGGACCTTCACCGGCCGCGGTTAACCCGCTGGCCCGTGAATTTTTTTTTTTTTTTTTTTTAAATTTGAAAAAAGGGGGGGGAAGAAAATTTGTTTGTTGATAATGTTCCTAATAGA